GATCATCAGCGAAGCATATATGCGAGAGCTTTGGTCCTCCTCTTGACAAGCTAATCGGTTTCCATTTCTTCTCCAATACTGCTTCCTCAATTAAATGACAGAGCCTCTCCATACATAACACAAACAAATACGGAGACAAAGGATCACCTTGTCTAAGCCCTCTTGCGGGTTTAAAAGATTCAGTCTTCTCTCCATTCCACAAGATACTCATCTCTGGGCCTGAGACGCATTCCATTATTCTTCCAACCCAATCCTCCGACAAGCCAACTGCCCTCAGTGTGTCCTCTAGAAAATCCCAACGCAACCTATCATATGCTTTCTCTAAGTCCAACTTTAAGAGCATCCATCCTTTCTGCCCCTGCTTTCTCCTCATGGAATGAACAGCCTCCTGTACTACTACAATATTGTCGGCACTAAGCCTACCGGGAATGAAGCTAGATTGCGCAGGACCAATCAGTTTATTCATAATCCCCTTCAACCTCCCAACCATAGCTTTCGTAATGATCTTAAACAGCACATTACATAAGCTAATCGGACGGAACTGAGTAATACTCTCCGGTTTTAGTACCTTCGGTATCAAGACAACAAGGGCATCATTTGTTCCTTCTGGTAGCTTACCAGTCTCAAAGAATAAGAGCACAAACTTGACCACCGAGGCACCAACTGTATCCCAACATCGTTGGTAGAAGACTGGTTGAAATCCATCTGGTCCTGGTGCCTTGAAGCTTCCCATAGCTCTCACAGCTTTCTCGACTTCCTCTGCCGAAAAATTCCTGTTCAAGGCATTATACTCTTGATTGGTAAGGCTCACAAAACCCCGCAGAGGTAGATTCTGAACTTCAGTATCAACATCCTCTAGTGAGTATAATCTCTTAAAGTAGCCAACCGCAATCTTCTCAAGCTCTTGTACGTCCGAAATCCACTGATTCTCATCATTTTTCAACATGTCAACTTTATTCCGCCTCCTCCTGATTATCGTTGACATGTGAAAGAACTTAGTGTTTCTGTCTCCGTGAACAACCCACTTTTCCCGCGATTTCTGAAACCAAATAAGTTCCTCCTGTTCCAGAACGATTTCGAACTCTTTGAGTAATTCACCCTCTTTCACCAATAACTCTTCCGTATGATCCTCCTCAATTTGCTCCTGAACTTTTTTAATTTCTCTAACCAGCATCTCCTTATTTTTTTGAACATTACCAAACACTTGCTTGTTCCACTGTCTGAGTTTCACTTCCAACCGCTGTAGAGCTTCTCTGGTATCTATATCCCGGTCCCATGAGGCCGTTAGCATGTCCTTGAACTCACTATGCTGTAACCATGCCGCCTCGAAACGGAATGGACGACGGCAAGCATTTCCGCGAACCTCAGGCATTAGCTGCAGATACAATGGAGCATGATCCGATGCTAAGAACGGTAAATGTGAGACTCTTGCCTCTTGCCACTTAAGCCTAGACTGGGCGCAACATAGAACTCTATCCAATCTCTTAGCTACAAAAGTATTTTTCGTTTTCCCTCTCTTCCATGTAAACTGATTCCCGCTAAACCCCATGTCAATAAGCGACATCTCATTTATCCAATTACCAAAGGTTAAAGAATCCTCAGACAACTGTCCATTCCCACCACTTCTTTCATCAACTCTCACAATTGTGTTGAAGTCTCCCGCAACAAACACTGGTCCAACAATACTGCCAATTACTCCACCCAAAGCTGTCCATAACCCACTTCGACGGCTTGGCGTAGGAGCTGCATACACTACAATTAAATTGATCACCTCTGTTCCTTGCCCTACTCGAGCATAAATAAACTGCTCAGATGACTCAACTACCTCAATCTCTCCTACTCCAGCTCTCCATAGCAGCCATAAGCCACCACTCTGACCATTCGCATCGACCCGAAACGAGTTCTCAAAACCCAACCCCCGGCAAATTCTACCGGCAGCTTCTCCACCGGCATGCGTCTCAAATACAGCAAGTATGTCTGTATCAAATTTCTTCACCAAATATCTGATTGATCTTCGAAATTGAGGTTTATTTGCCCCCCGGCAATTCCAAAAGATGCACTTCATCAAGAACTTATAATCAACAATAAGAATAACCGGGGCGCACCGTTATGCCTCCACACTCGTCGATCTCTCCTCCACTCGACCCACACAACCTCCCGACTTATCACCATGCAGAGTCTCCGATATTTCGACTTGCATCTGTAGCTCTCCCTGCTTATCACCGTAAGCAGAGCCTCTCTCAGCTCCGCCGATATCCCCATTACCGGCGAACACACCCCCTGGCCGACCAATACTCTCTTTCTCGACCCGCAATCTTTTCCCATTAACCGACATCTCCATCTCCCCTCTCGTTGGACCGAACACTAATCCACGTGTGGGCCCAACAAATTTGGATTTGGGCTTTTGGATATTTGGGTTCTTCCAGTTACCTCCCTTTCTTTCTTTTGAGCCCACTGGAGCGTAGGTGTGGTTCTCGTTGTTCCCAGTCGCAGCAAAAGTCATCGTCTTATCATTCCCTTTCCTCCAACCTCCAGTACTTAAGTTGGTAGAGTTCTCATTTTCTTTATTCCCTTCTTCTCTAAGAGTAACCTCCACATTCTCCTCCATCTCCCCCTCTTTTTCTAAACCTCCAAATCTATTTGAAACTCTTATTTCCTCCAACACCCTCTCTTTACTTATTACTCGTGGCTTTCTCCCCACGTTACCACTCCCATCATTACCTCCCACCGAACCTCCAATCTTCCTTTGTTGCTCGGGCTTCCTCCTCACGTGGCTCACCTGAGTAAACTCCATCTCTGTTCCGGTGGGCTCCTTACTCACCTGAGATGTGATGACTGGAACTGGCACCGGAGTTAGTGATTTTTCCGTAACATTACGTGGACATGCGTGCACTAGGTGACCGTACATACCACACATCGAGCATATAGCAGAGATTCCTTCGTATGACACAAAGTATCTCTCACCATTAACCATTACCGTCCCCTTCAGTGGCTTATTTAGGTTCACTTCCACGCATATTCTCGCATATCTAGCTCTCTCAAACTTCAAAGTTGTCAAGTCAACTCTTATCGGCTTCCCTAAGCCCTTGGCTATTCCCATCAATATCGTCTTATGATAAAAGTTGACTGGAATATGAGATAGACGGACCCAAACCGGCGTCGTCACTATCTCGTCTTTCAACGGATCGAACTCAGGTGACCATGCTTGCACCATCAGATAACTACCAAACGCCCTCCATGGACCCCCTGATAGTGCAGCCATATACTCTTCTTCCAATTCAAATCGTACCATAAAGAAGTTTCGGGGAAGATCCATAACAATCATGGACCCCTTAGGCTTCCATAATTCTCTCAGTTTACGATTCAAGCTCATTATTGGAATGTTCCTCCCCAAAACCCTAACAATCATACACTTCTTCCAAAGGCTATTCATGGCCGTCAACACTTCCTCCCCTATTGTTATCACTGGTTCTCCATCCTCCCCATTCGGAAACGTTAGGCTCAACCTCGCCTCCACAAACTCCTCATCCACGACTTCCTCCGGGACCGGCATCCCTCCTCCATTACTTCCTATTACTTTCCTCACCCAATCGCCAGGACCATCAGGCGGATCCCCCGGTGGCCTGCCCTTCTCTCCAATGTCCTCCATCATCGCATCTTGTGCTTCCTCACCCAAAACCCTAGCCGCCATTTTAACATAAATTTGTTTACCATGACTATAGGTTAATCGAAGAATGTGACTGATATTATGATTCCTGATTACGTCATCTAGCATCAAAATTGGGTTTGCTATATAGATTTTATTTATATTATTTTTGAGAAGTGGTGTTACAGGCAGCTTCTTCGGAACCAGACCCAGACACCGTAAACGAAGCAACACACCACAAAACCCTAGCGGAATCTTCATTCACTCCGGCGACTTGACGTCAGCTCTTCGTCACGCGCGTAAAGCCCTCACCTTGTCTCCCAACACGGAAGGCGTATCCTCAATGGTCACCAAACCATCATCACCGGAGTGGTACAAGATTCCAAAGGTAGAGCCTTTCTCTCACTTGGACACCGTAAAGCAACAGTATAGGAAGCTAGTGGCGTTGCGTCATCCGTATGTTGGGTGTGAGGAAGGGTTTAAGCTTTTGAACGAGGCTTTTAATGTTTTGGGAGATAAGGTTAGGAGAAGCGAGTATGATGTGAAGCTGAGTAATAGGATTCAGGGGGAGATTGGTGGTGGTGAAACGTCGCGTTTTCGACCGTTTGCAAGAAGAGTTTTGAGGCAAAGGAAGATGGAGCTTGTTCTTCCGAGATCCTAACTTATAGTAGGAGGAAGAAGAAGGGATGGTGAAAGTCTGAGAAGAGCGAGTGAGACAAGAGTGGAGGAAGCAGAAGCTTTTGATGCAGGTGAGAGTTTAGATGAAGGGATGATGACTTGAGCAGAAATGCAAATAAAGCACTAACAAGGAGAATGGTAAGCAGCGTGAAGCTTTTAAAGAACAAGATGGGTACAAAGAAGAAGAAGACAACTAACCACAAGGAGTTAAGTGAGGTAGTGGATTTAGAATAGGAAGAGGGATCTTGGTAAGTTGAACCAAGAAATCTACATGGAAGACGAGGATTTAGATTTGTATGATTTTGATAATGTATGCCAAGGAGCTTCAAGAAAGGTCAGGTTTGGGCTTATATTCGATGATGATGACAACCTGCCTCGGAGTTACTGTGTGGTAAGTGAAGTCGCCTCTGTAAACCCTTTCAAGGTATGGATAAGCTGGTTGGATTACGAAAGCGAGAACCTCATCTCTTGGATGAAAAACAGCTCTTGTGGGAGGTTCCGGTTTTCAGAAGTGAGAGCTTGGATCGAGCATGTGAAACTGTTGTCTCATCTTGTCAAATGCAAAAGGGTTGCAAGACAAGTATACCAAATATATCCCAGGAAAGGAAGGCTCGGTTGCTGAATGGTATCAGTCAAATGCTCAAACGAAAATAAACTCAACATACTCTTACGAATAGAACAATCAGTCAACAAACACACTAAGTAAATGGATCTTTCCTTTGAGTCTAGTATTGAAGAAGTATTTTCACACGTTATAAACCGCAAAAGAAGCTTTTTGGCGATAAGGTTGCTGAAATATTGACTATATACTTATAAGCATGATCATAAACCTGTAACTGTGGTTAAACTGGAGAGTCAGCTCGCTGCTTCTTCATGCATCCTATTACACAGAGAAAGAGAGACTTTAGCTTAGGAGAGTATACCATGTTTAGAAACAGAGGAAGAAGAAGAGTAAAAAATAACGAGAGGTTTAAGAGGCGGCTATTAGAGCACAAGCCAGTAGTCTATTGAGTTAAAAACACCATTACCTTGTCGAGGATGAAGCTTGCAGCAATCTCAAGAAAGAGTCCTTCCAAATCATCGATGATGAGGTTTGCCATCTCTTCGTGACCAAAAAAATCAGGCAGATCTGAAGCTTTCTCTCGTATAACGTTGAGCAGTCTCTTTTGAATCGTTTTAATTTTGATGACAAGCCTCTCCTCCACCTTCTTCAACTCTTCCTTTGTCACAAACTCGTTTTGCTCACGAAGAAGCTTCCTCAAAAGATTAGTGACATTGTTGTTTCTCAAAATCACTTGATTCAACATGTCTTCTATCTCTCCTAAAAAGAAAATCATGATAAGGTGATATCATCAGATCTATTATCAACTCTGTTAATCTATTATTTCAGATCTTACCTGGACGAGATTGAGCTGCTCCGGTGTGCTCTGCTGCTTCAGGATCCATACCGTAAGAATGATGATCGAGGGAGAGAGAGAGAGAGGCGGGAAATCGAAAACCAATTCCGATGAAAAATATCTTTTTTTTTTGTTTTCGTCGTCTTTTACATCAATTTGAAATCAATTCAACGATCACGCCACGTCACACTACCATCAGTTTTTATCAACGGTCAGAGCATGGTGAAAAATAACCGGATTTTTGAAAGTCAAACCAGTTTGATTTCCCTCTCTTTACGTGCTGAAGGCGCATCCACGTGGCGTTGGGTAAAGAATGTCTGAAAACGCAGCGTTTTAGATTTGGAGTAGAGTCTGGGCTGCACCTGACATTATCTCTTTAATTTTTTTGGGTAATTTTTGTGTGTATACCAAAGATCTCTTTCCTTCTCGTTTTCTATAATTTTTTTTTTTTGCAGATATAATTTAGATATGAAAAGATGTGCGAAATATTCATTTACAGATTTTCAATGACATGTTACACACATTTAAGAGTATTTAAGTTTATGTTTTATGTAGGTTTAGAAAATATGTAAAATTTATATTTGTATTTTGATAAGCATTACAATTTTATAACTAGACAAATTTGATGAGAGTGAAATCAGTTGGCATGTGGTAACACTAGTTATTACTAAAGAAAAAAAAGGTTGAAATATACTAATATTAGAATGGTTCCATTTCTTAACATATTATGATTAGAACGCTTGTGAAATCGGTTAGCAAAGATGATCAATTACGGAACTAGCTGTGTGGTCTGGTCCGGTTGAATTAGCTTCGAATCGTTAATTTACGACCGGTTTAACCACACTTGGTCTTCGTCTACATCATTTTCGTAAATTCCGGTTTAGGTGTGTGACAATTCCGGTTTAGTTGGAGAAGACGCTACTTTTTGGGTGTCTGAAATTTACGAAAATGATGTAGACGAAGACCAAGTTTGGTTAAACCGGTCGTAAATTAACGATTCAAAGCTAATTCAACCGGACCAGACCACACAGCTAGTTCCGTAATTGATCATCTTTGCTAACCGATTTCACAAGCGTTCTAATCATAATATGTTAAGAAATGGAACCATTCTAATATTAGTATATTTCAACCTCGCTTTTTCTCTTTAGTAATAACTAGTGTTAGTTACCACATGCCAACTGATTTCACTCTCATCAAATTTGTCTAGTTATAAAATTGTAATGCTTATCAACATACAAATATAAATTTTACATATTTTCTAAACCTACATAAAACATAAACTTAAATACTCTTAAATGTGTGTAACATGTCATTGAAAATCTGTAAATGAACATATTTCGCACATTTTTTCATATCTAAATTATATCTGCAAAAAAAAGAAAAAAAAATTATAGAAAACGAGAAGGAAAGAGATAATGTCAGGTGCAGCCTAGACTCTACTCCAAATCTAAAACGCTGCGTTTTCAGACATTCTTTACCCAACGCCACGTGGATGCGCCTTCAGCACGTAAAGAGAGGGAAATCAAACTGGTTTGACTTTCAAAAATCCGGTTAAGTGGTAAATATTTTTCACCATGCCTTTATCTGACCGTTGATAAAAACTGATGGTAGTGTGACGTGGCGTGATCGTTGAATTGATTTCAAATTGACGACGAAAACAAAAAAAGAAGGTATTTTTCATCGGAATTGGTTTTCGATTTCCCGCCTCTCTCTCGATCATCATTCTTCAATTCTGAAGCAGCGGAGCACTCCCCCTCGATCATCATTCTTACGGTATGGATCCTGAAGCAGCATAGCACACCGGAGCAGCTCAATCTCCTCCAGGTAAGATCTGAGATAATAGATTAACAGAGTTGATAATAGATCTGATATCACCTTATCATGATTTTCTTTTTAGGAGAGATAAAAGACATGTTGAATCGAGTTATTTTTAGAAACAACAATGTCACTAATCTTTTGAGGAAGCTATTGGGATATAGTTAGAGAATATTCTGAAGCTCAAGATATTAGGATCTTATGTATATTCGGTTGTGAATATACTAGAGAAGATAAGTGTGTATCTAGTTTGTTAAGATCTTCGTCATGTATATAAGGCGATGTAAAGTCTCATTGTAAAACCATCTGAGTCAATACAAAGCATTATCAGATCTTTCATGGTATCAAAGCGGACCCACACCCTGACCCATTAATCCGGTCCGGAAAGTGGCCCGATCAACCCATTAGCTGATGGTCTAGAGAAGGCTCAGTTCTATCGAGATTGCTAGAAGAAAAAGCATTGTCTCGGTAGGGGTATGATGGATTCTGCGAGATTAATGGTTAGATCCACCATTATCTCGAGGGAGGGTGTTGGGATAAAGATCACACATTGGAAATATGAATGGGACATGAGTAATATATAAGGGACATGAGTAATATATAAGGGACTTGAGCCAATCCACTTATCTGTCAATTGGTTTTAAGTTGGAAACCCAAGAAACTTACCAGAGAAACTTAGATCAGCTGGAAGCGTTGTCGAAGAAGCTAAAGGCTAAAACCCTAAGGAACGAGGCTCCTTCTCAATCTATTGCCGCCACTAGGTTAATCTCAGTCTCTCTCTCTCTCTCTCTTTCCGAAACCCTAAGGAATTGTAAGCAAGAAATGATTCTGTTGTCTTTGTTATTTTGCAGACTTCTCGGGAGGGAGGGAATCAATGCTGAGCAACAACTAGCTCGTGATCTCAAATCTTTCGAGTTGAAGGTGAAGGTGAAGATTATTGCTCTGTCTACGCTATTAACTGTGTGTGTATTTGGCTGTTTTTTTGCTTAGAGATACGAAAGTAGAATACACATAACTAGTTTTTGTTTATACTTGAGAGGTTTCATATTTTGTCAAACAAATATCCTTCCTAGTTGCTGTTGTATGAATTATTGTCGTGTTTTGGTCTGTTTATTGGTATATTAAGGTGTTTGTAGTCTTAGTATGCTCTTCACATCTCTCTGCTTGCGGCCTGCTTTTCAAATGTGATTATTCACTTTGTTATCTTTCTTTTGATACTCTTTAAAAGACAACATTTGAGGATGTAGGCTACAACTGGTTACCAAAGTTTACACTTTTATTGATTGGTTCGCTTGGCGGTGACTGATTGTTGTGAGGATGTGCCATGTTTTTTCTCTCTCTCTCTTTAGACTTTAGGTGCGTGAAATGGCTATGGTATCAGCTATACAGGAAGCTCAAAAGGATAATGTTCAAAGCTTTAATGATTACATGATGAAAGTCCTGGAGGTAAGGCTATCCCTGTGATACTTCACTTCTTTTTGCTCTTAACCATTCGTTTCTTCTTAGTTTCCTTTTGCACACAATTATTGATAAGTCAGTGGTTGTGTGTAATAGAATCGCACCCCTTTTTTTTTTGCTTGTTGATATATTAGAAAGATGTGCCTACTGATTTCCCAAATATTGGATGTGAATCTTAAATGACAGGAGGATTGGAGAAAAGAAAAATGTGACTTCCTTCAGAGCCTTAGCAGAATATCATTTTTACCTAAAACGAATATGACTGATGCAAGCAGAGAGGCTAATGCTGGCCAACTAGTGCCGGTGGGTTCGAGTTATCGAGTATCGTCCACACTAGGCAAAGAACTTGTGGCTCTGGCTAATGTACCCATTCATGAGAAAAAGAGCATACGTCTATGGAGAGGTTGTGAAGAAACTTGACATGTCAAGAGAACGAGGCTTGGCATTTAAAGTATGGATTTCTTATACCCTGTGTATAAATTTAGCACTAGTTCATTTTTCTTAATCCTGTTTGATAATTATAGCTGAATAATATTCAATTTCATTAGCTACCTCTAGAAGTGAAGTAGAATTCTTAGAATTTTTCACTTTTTAGTACTCTACTTTAAAATGATGATTTCTTTTCATGTAGCATCCATAAAACTGGCTTCCCTCCTATATATTGTCTGGTATGTTTTATATTGATCCCAATTCATATCTTTGTATAGCCTGCAATGTCTTTTAAGGACGCTCACGAATCTCTTGGTGCTGAGGGAACTCATGGAAAATCAGTCAACATGCAGAAAATTTGGCAGCTTGTTCAGGTAATCTTTTTTGAACGGAAACTTTTTGCCTTTCTCTGTTTCATTCAGATTTCTTGTGATTGTTAACATTTTTTTCCCAGGAAATAACAGGTGAAGACTCAGCAGCTCGACAGGTTGTTTCGAAGAGGATGTCACTCGCGAGTCGCGATAGGTGCAAGACGTCATTTAGAACGCGGGCATGAAAAACATATAATGGACACAATTCAAAGTCACCCTACACAAGTATTCATTTCTGTCTCGTTTTTTTATCTTTGTCTGTTCTTGATAATAACAGCTCCTACATCTATGTGGATGTTGTGTCTTTAGATTACCGTCTACACAAATGCTCAAGTGCTGTCTGAAATGATTCCTTGATCTTTATATCCTCTTTCACAAGAGTGTTGGTAATCATTCTCACTTGTGTCTTGCTTTCCTAATCCTGTTCCAGGCTGCTCTTGGTGGATCTGTTGGAAATTTGAAAAGAATTCGTGCTTTCTTTCGGGTTAGTGTCATAGACTTTGTAGAGCTTAATACTGGATCATATGTTCAAAAAGCTGTTTAGCTTTATTATTTCTCGTTATTTCTTTACTTTTCGCAGATTCGTTTGTGAGAATATGGAATTTTAGATTTTGATTCTCCAGATGCACGTAGGCAGCCTCCTGTTGATACGACTTGGCAACAGGTTTTGGATTATTTTCCTTAGATCTTACTATATTTTTTTCAAGAGTTGGAATCAGCACTTTGGTTACTTTTCTTTTTTTTGCTGCTTACAGAGTGGATTACAAAAGATGGTGTGGTGGCTGCAGAGACTGCTGAGAGGCTAATGCTGGCCAACTAGTGCCTGTGGGTTCGAGTTCTCGAGCATCGTCCACACTAGGCAAAGAACTTGTGGCTCTGGCTAATATACCCATTCATGAGAATAAAGCATACGTCTATGGAGAGGTTGTGAAGAAACTTAACATGTCAAGAGAACGTGGCTTGCCATTCAAAGTATGGATTTCTTATACCCTGTGTGGTTGCGGATTGGAAGCGATGAAGATCCGGAGAATATAAAGTACAATACATAAATTGAGAAAGGTTTGGAACAATTGCTAAGCTCTCGTTCTTGGAATGAATCGAAAGGCAAACGAGTTTCCAAATCTTCCGATCTTCTTCCTCAGGTAACAAATCCTCTTGTAATAGATGACTAGGAGAATCGATTGCTAGGTTATCGGAAGAATGGTGATAGAATAGTAAATCAAAATGAGATGCCAAAGTTTAATGACGACATGCCATATGGTTGGATTTGTCGAGTAGAAAGAATCTTCAGATCTTTCCAAGTTAGTGAGGAGGATAAGCTTGATTTAGTGTATGTGAACTTAGAAGGAGCTGTGTGCGATTTGTATAGTGAGGAAGTGACAAAGTGTACATTCATGGATTGGTTCAATTCTAAGCAGCGGTTACTGGTTCACTCTGCTCCAGCCACGAGTAGTTTCCAGTCCAACGTGATACCGATGAAGGAAACAGTATCTACGAGTGCTAAAAAGACAGAACTTGGTTGTGTGAAAGCATCATCTCACAGCTCGACAGAGATTCTCAGAGCAGAAGTGGTTCACGAAATGAATTATATAAAAAAAAGCTACAACAACATTGGAAAAGATTGATTATGTGGAAACAACTGAAACACATTCACCTACTGTCTGGCACCATCTCAACAAGCGGAGAGCAGTAAACAGCATCAGAAACATGTTCCCCGTCAGATTTTGGTCTTATGTTTCCTGTGTTACCGTATGAACTTGGCAGCGGTGCTGTTCATAACAAGGAAGGATCATATGTTTTACAAAGCAAGAAGGCAGATGAATTCACACCAGCTTCTACTTGTGTCAAGCCAACACATCAAATAAGATCTCTTACTGACAAACTTGGTGCTAACGTGGATTCTGCAGAGGTGCTACGATTAACTGGTGCTATTTTGTTGCATTCAGAACATGAGCAGATAACACAGAAGAAGAAGTGTTACAAGACTTGGCATTTCAAATACAAATATGAGGAAAAGGATTGCCAAAACGTGGAGAAGAACCAGGGAATGGGTTATGCGGCTTTGGAGACCTTGGCTGCCTTGTGGAGTATTATTATAAAAGATGGTGCTGCTGTTAATAAGAGGTTTGATGTTTGCTTGAGAAAGACAAAGAATGAGACCACGTCGAGATGTAAAAAGTTTCATTGCATACATCAACCGTTTGCTTTGAAACTTAGAAGACCAAGAAGATTAATAACGGTGAAGCGATGCTATACAGCTACATAAGCTAAAGTTACTTTGATGACTCCAGAAGATAAACGAGTTACATAGAAGATAATCCTTATGAAGTATCACAAGACCTGGACATTCAAGTACAACAAAACCATTTTCTGGGTTTTCTGTTCTGTACTCACTCGCCTAATCGTGTGGTGGCTGAACTGAGATGTGTAATATGGCAATAAGGAATTTAAGGGATTTACGAGTACCAGAGGTGGTCATAGCATCAAATTATCATGAGGTAGAGTGGAAGCTCTAAATGCACCACATCAGTGTCCACGCTTCAGAGCATTATAAGAACAGGTGATGCAGCTTAAAGGATCGTTTGTTAGTGTGGCTTTTGGTTCATGCGGAAAAGATCTCAGTGAATGTGATTGCTCAAGACATTGCTAAGAGTGTACTGAGACTGAGAGATGGACGTTTCTAATCGAATTCATAACCGAAGCTAAACCAAAAAACAAAATTATGGTTTGGCTCGGCAGGTTCGTGGTACAGGGAATGAAGAGAAGAGTATTTGGACACGTGGGAGTAGTAGAGTGGTAGTTGGAGGTTGTTAGAGTCTGTTGGAGAGATACCAACGACTCCATTCAGAGGGTGACAGCTGGCTTACGTGTGACGAAAGAAACAGAGTGACGATGTAAAGAACTCTGTTTCTCATTTTCATTTTTCTTATCCAGAAATTGTGTGTAACAAACTTTATCTTTCTCTCTCATTTTCTCAGAATATTCTTTGTACTTTCCTGGAAAACTCGATTGATTCATTAGTAAAGGTTGTTCTTTCTCTTCAATCTTTTACAAGTGAAATTCTAGATCTTTGTTTACACGAACATTGGACTAACATGCGGATTCTCTGTATTCGTGGTATCAGAGCTTGACGATCTTTGGATTTTCTCGAGAAAAATTACGACTTTATCATGGCGAAAACGCGAACTCAGGTAGCGAAAAAGACGGCGGCGCGGGAAGTTGACGAGGAGGTGGAGAATCGCATTGTTTCGCTGGAGAAAGCGTTTGCGATGCAGAGTGAGAAGACTGATCGTAGTATTCAAGAGATGATCGAAGCTTTCAAATTGATGACTCGATTTCCGAATCAGAATGGTGCGTCGACGAGTGGTGATCAGATTCCGCGAGAAAATTCCCCGAGAATTTCAAGAACACAAGACATTCAACATGATCAGCCACAAACCAACATACCTTGAGGAGGTAACAATGGTATGACTCGTATGGCTAAGATTGATTTTCCTAGATTCTCTGGTGATAGGATTCAAGAATGGTTGTGTACGGCGGAGCAATTTTTTACGATTGATAATACACCTGAGGAGTCTAAGGTAGCGATCACGTCTATACATTTTGATGGTTTGGCTAGAACTTGCATCAAGCACTTGTGCAGGAAGACAGTAATGGAGAAATGTTGCGTGATTGGAGAACTTATCATTCACTACTCAAAGAACGATTTGAGGAAGTGCTCGACGATCCAATTGCAAAGCTCAAAGAGTTGAAAGAGACTGAAGGAATTGCTGAGTACCATGCGAAGTTTGAACTGATCAGGTCGAGGTTGAAAATGTCAGAGGAGTACTTGGTTAGTGCGTACCTAGCGGGGTTGAGGCTGGACACTCAAATGCACATAAGGATGTTCAATCCTCAATCCACGAGACAATGTTTGGTGCTTGGTAGACTTTACGAAAGAGCTCACCCTAAAAGACATGTTACTAGTGGATGGAGTGGGGTCAAGAGTGGTGGTGTGAGTAATACTAGCAAGGGCTTATTACCTACACCAAGAGTGAATGAGAAGTTTCAGGGGAAACCAAAAGAGCCTACACAACAGCTAAAGAAGTTCTTGTCTAACGAAGAGATGAGTGAAAGAAGATCAAAAGGACTTTGTTACTATTGTGATGAGAAGTTTACACCTGAACATTACTTAACTCATAAAAAGACTCAGCTCTTTGTGATAGATTTTGAGGAGGAAGAGAAGGATTGTTATGAAGAAAAGGAAGAGGATTTCTCACGAAGTGTTGATGATTGTGAGATTGCACAGATTTCGTTGAATGCAGTCACAGGCACGACATATTACACAACAATGAGGGTTCGTGGAGTTCATGGGAAGAAGAACTTATACATACTCATTGATTCTGGTTCTACACACAACTTTGTGGATAAAAGAATTGCTAATCTGTTGGGGTGTAAGATGGAGAATGCAGGAAGAGCTAGAGTAGCAGTCGCTGATGGGTCAAAGATAGGAGTCTGTGCTGAGATAAAAGATTTCACATGGAACTTTTAGAATCACAAATTTCAATCTGATGTGATGGTGATTCCTTTGGGAGGTCATGACATGGTTTTAGGAGTGCAGTGGCTATCAAAATTGGGAGCTATTACTTGGGACTTTGACAAGTTATACATGCAGTTTAAATGGGAACAGAAGAAGTGTGTGTTACATGGTTTGAAGGCAGGGTCTGTGAGGGAAGTTAAGGCTAAACGTATTGATGAAGTCAAAGACAAAGAGATTCAATTGCATATGATCTATGCTTATGAAGAAAATGAGAAGAGCATAGAGTTAAATGCTATTGGGGGTAATGCGGATTGTGATGTGAAGTGTGGAGAGATTGAAGAATTGATGGACGAATTCACTGAAGTTTTTGCAGAACCTACGGAGTTGCCACCATTCAGGGAGAACCATAATCACAAGATAAATCTCATGGAAGGGGCTAACCCAGTGAACCAAAGGCCATACAGGTATGCTTTACACCAAAAGAATGAAGTCGATAAGATGGTGAAAGAGTTACTTGCAGCAGGCACAATGCAACCTAGTTGCAGTCCGTATGCTTCTTCTGTGGTACTGGTTAAGAAGAAAGACAACTCTTGGCGTCTGTGTGTGGATTATAGGAAGTTAAATCAGATGACGGTGAAGGACAGATTTCCTATTCCGTTGATAGAGGATCTCATGGATGAGTTGGGAGGATCTCCAGTTTACTCCAAAATAGATTTGAGAGCAGGTTATCATCAAGTCAGAATGGATCCCTTAGACATTCAGAAGACGGCTTTTAGGACCCATAGTGCTCACTACGAGTATCTGGTGATGCCATTTGGCTTGACCAATGCACCTGCTACCTTTCATGGACTGATGAATGATGTGTTCAGGGCGTATCTAAGGAAGTTTGTACTCATATTTTTTGATGACATACTCATCTATAGTACTAATATGGAGCATCATTTGTTACATTTGAGGGAAGTGTTTGAAGTGATGAAGCAGAAGAAGCTGTTTGCGAAGAGGAGTAAGTGTGCATTTGGTATTAGCAGAGTAGAGTACCTTGGACACTTTATTGAGAAAGAGGGAGTATCAACGGATCCCAGTAATGAAAGCCAAAGCATAATGGCCACAACCTACGAACTTGAAGAAGCTGCATGGATTTTTGGGACTTGCAGGTTATTATAGAAGGTTTGTTAAAAACTTTGGAGCTATTGCAAGACACTTAACCGCACTGACAAAGAAGGACGCGTTTATATGGAATGAGGATCCCAGTAAGGTGACAACTGATCCCAGTAAGGTG